GGAGTGGATTTAAAGGGGAGTAGATGGGAGTTGTGGGGATGAGATGGGAGAAGAGGAGGAAGGGGAAACTGTGGTTGTCATGTAAAATGAATGAAAAATGTTAATCAAATTAAATTTAAAAAATGAAAAAAAGTTAATCAAATTAAGTAAAAAAATTAATTAAAAAGGCAAAATAACACACAGTATATAGGTCTCAGCCAATAGCAACAAGACCCCGGCCTTCTGTGGTGGAAATGACCCAATGTGATCAGCATTAATTAGTTAATTGTTTGACTATATCTTTCAATATTTGCTCTAAGTTTGCAAAGATCATTTGACAGATAACACACTGGTCAAAAGTAACTATTTGGGAGATGAAGTGGTTAAGAGCACTTGATGCGCCGGGCGGTGGTGGCGCACGCCTTTAATCCCAGCACTCGGGAGGCAGAGCCAGGCGGATCTCTGTGAGTTCGAGGCCAGCCTGGGCTACCAAGCGAGTCCCAGGAAAGGCGCAAAGCTACAAGAGAAACCCTGTCTCGAAAAACCAAAAAAAAAAAAAAAAAAGAGCACTTGATGCTTTTGCAGAGGATCTGGGTTCTGTTCCCAGCATTCACACTGCAGTTCACACCCACCTATTGCACAAGTCTCAGCTGATCTGACTCCCTCTTCAGATCTCCACAGGTACCAAGTATTCATATGCTGCGTAAATACATGTGGGCAAACAATGTACACATAACAAGTTAAATAATGTAAATTAACTGTTTGGTAGACCTGAAATTTCAGGAGGTTACTGTTAGAGCCTGGTGGAGTAGGCTATCCTTCTGTGTCTCAATATATCGCATAAGCTTTATCTATACAGGCACGCACTGATTCACGTGTATTGACTTACCAGAATCATGATTTGTAGTGCGAACGAGGAGGTAGAAAGAGGAAGGAAACGTTTTTCTAATTAATCATTAATTCTGTCAACTTCTCCTAGAAGATGCTCTTTCAGAAGAACAAAATATTGACCTTGAACTTGCAGCCACCGGCTGCTTCAAGGCAAAAGTATGGCCCACAGAGGTTTGCACAACATGCTAGTGAAAACAGCAGGCTCTCTCCAAAAGCTTATGCTGGTAACTGGACTTCTGCACATGTCCTCCTTCCAGTGACCACTCCACGAGTCCCTTGCACAGAATCCCACATGTTCTAGGGTATGAATTATATTCTCTATTGAAGATAGTACTGATACAACCAAGAATATCCATAAAGTCATCATGAATGGAGCCAGTCTGTGTGTGAATAGGGGCATACTTGGGATTTCTGCACCAGACTTCGTATTTATGGTTGTTGTGTTGTTGTTGTTGTTGTTGATACTGAGTCTCCATGAACTAAGGATGACATGAAACTCTCCAGACAGCTGAGATTTGAACTCCTGATCCTCCTGCCTCTATCTCCCGACTGTTGGGATTACAGACTGCTTTTATGCTGTGGTAGGAATTGAACCCAGGATGTCATGAATGCTGAGCGAGGACTCTATCAACTGAGCTACATTGCCCGCTCCCTGAACCAGAATTTATGAATCAGATGCCCCAATGCTTCTGTATCCTCACCCATGATTGAAAAAAAATTTAGAGGCCGGGCAGTGGTGGCACACGCCTTTAATCCCAGCACTCGGGAGGCAGAGCCAGGCGGATCTCTGTGAGTTCGAGGCCAGCCTGGGCTACCAAGTGAGTTCCAGGAGAGGCGCAAAGCTACACAGAGAAACCCTGTCTCGAAAAACCAAAAAAAAAAAAAAAAAAAAAGAAAAAGAAAAAGAAAAAGAAAAAAATTTAGAAAGAAAAGAAAAAGGAAAGAAGCCTTCCCAGTGGTTGATTTTCCCTGCAGCATTTGTTGTACGTCAGCTTCTGAGAAACCATCACTAGGATGGAATGTGGAGCTGCTGCAGGAGAGACAGGAGAGCTAGTGGTGTGGGGGAAGCAAAGCAGCAGGCCAAGACGATGAATCATCAGGCAAACTTTCTTTAATACAACATCACGGGAGTCCTAGGGGTGTGTGAGATGAGAAGCCATGCCCATATTCCCCAATCAGAGCTGAAACTCACATTCTGAAACGAAAGGGAGGTTCCTGGCTTTACCATAGTTCTTTGTTCAGCTGCACTCAAAAATTCAGCAGGGGGCGCTCAGAGGAAAAGAAGCGGTTCTAAGGTCACAGAGCTGAGCAGCAAGGCTGACTTGTTTCCTTGCGTTGTGTCTGGAAAGCCACAAGATGGCACACGGTATCCCGTAAGTTGCTTTGCATCTGCCTGTGAGACAAATTGAAAGACCCCGAAGCCACCTCCGCCAGGGGCTTTTGTCGTGTCTTTGACTCTCCTCATTCTACTAGATTCAAGTTTGGCGAACTTCTGTTTCTGCATGAATGGGTCCCTCTTATTAAAGTGCCCTGAATCCAGATGAGATAAAGAAAAAAGGACTCGAGTTTAACTTATCTTTCTTTTAAAAACACTTATACATAGCTATTCTGATCATGGTCATGTACCCAAAGGTCTCCATAGCCTAGTATAGATACTTGCTCATCCATGCTTATTTCTGCTGTATTCAAAATAGCAAATAAAAGAATACAGCCTATATGTATGCAACAACAAATAACAGAGAAATAAATTAGAGGCCACAAATTTGAAAAAGGTCAAGGAATGTGTGGGAGAGTTTGGAAAAAGGAAGGGGAAGGGAGAAATGATATAATAGTATTATAATATCAGGAAGAAAAGAAAAAATGTGGGGAAGGAACATATGGGGAAATAGAAGGGGTAGTGGGTGAGACTGTCCAATGAATTTAAACAGTTTAAAAAAAAAGTGTAGGCAATGATTATAGCAAAAATTCAAAAATTATTTAATTTTCTTTCTCATTGACTCTTCTTCATTACCAAGAGGACAATTTAAACTCCTTTATTTTTTTGAAATTTTTGAGTTCTTTATTACAGCATTTCCACTACCCTGACACACAGTACTTTTTATGAGTTAAGGAACAGTGGAGAGTCCCACCTCTCAGCCTTTGTTGCTAAAACTCCTTCCCTGGGGAAACATAAACAATTTCTACCTCTTCTCTTAAGGTCTCAAACTCTCTTCAGGTCTACCCTTCTCAAAAGGTCCCAGGGCATGAGTCAGCCAAAGATAACATTGGAGAAACGATGCATGTATTGAACTTCCTCACAGATCATAGCTAATGGGCTCCTTGCAGGAGTACAGTTACTCTTTGCCCAGCCAACCTCACCTAAAAAGCCTTACCCAGCAGAGCTGAGGGTTTCCCACCACAAAATATATAAAGACCATGTTCGAGTCTTCTCCAGCCTCTGCATATTCTAGCACCTTCTCTAGGCCACATGAAGAGTTGCCAGGTGTTTAGGGATAGCTGGATACTCAGATGAGAATTATATTTCCTACTCTGCCCCCCTAAGCAGGATGTAAATTTGCCGACAAACCTAACTGGGATTATCTTATGTGTGGGGTAGCAGCTAAACTCTCCAAGATGGCAGTTGCTTGCCCAAGATGACCATGGCAATCTTCTAAGTGATGTGCATTATATCTAGACAAACCAAAGACCTGGAGACATGTTTGAATATTTTTCCACCTCTTCTTTCTTTGTTCCTTTATTTTGTCTATGTTATTGTTTCATTTGTTTTGAATTTCAAGCTTTTGTACATGTGTACATTGTTTGTTTCCTATATTCTCCTTCAAGCCCACCACCCTCCTTTTCTTACTTATCCTCACTCCTGTTACTCTCCTTCGTCTCCCTAGAAAGGCTTACACACACACACACACACACACACACACACACACACACGCACGCACGCACGCACACACGCATGCACGCACGCGCACACACACACACCCCACAAGTATAATTTTATGTTTCTATATAAAATCTAAGAACCACAAGTGAGAGATGACATATAATATCTGTCTTTCTGTGTCTGATTTAATTCATTTAATGTGCCTTTCTCCAGGTGCATCTGTTTCCCTTCAAACCACATAACTTTGTTTTGGGGGCAAGTCTTGAACTTTTCTCTCCTGCCTCTGCCTCCCAAATGAATTTGTATTATAAAATGATATTATATTATAAAATATTATTATAGGCACGCACCACAAAGCCCAGCAAAATTTTACCTGTTAATGATAAAATAATTTTGAAGGATTTATTTTATTTTTAATTATTTGTTTATGTGTGTGTGTGTGTGTGTGTGTGTGCGCGCGCGCGCGTGTGTGTAAGGGTATGTACATATGAGTATAAGTGCTTACAGAAGCCAGTGCTGTTGAATTCCCTAGAGATATCATTTCTAGCAGATGTAAGTTGAGTGATGTGAATACTTGGAACTGAACCCAGATCCTCAGCTAGAGCAGAAATTTCTCTTAGCCCCTGAAATAATATAATTTTGATTTTAATATCTACTATCTTATCTAATCCTTGCAAGTATGCATTATTATTTTTTGCTCTTGTAATTGTTAAGTTTAGCCTCCTGAAGGCCTCTCCGCCATCATCGCAACAAACCGAATCAGACCAAATCAGGAAAAGCCCAGGTTTAATGGATAAAGTGCTCCTGGGAGATTCCCTGGCCCCACAGAGAAGAGACGGGGATGTGAGACCAGAAGAATCACCAGTATGTTTTCTGAGATGCTGCTTATATAGCCCCTGTGGGAGTCGTCCTGAGCCTCCATGGGGGAAGAGCTGTGTTTGGCAGGCTCTGAAGGGGTGGGTCCAGGGAATGAGATGGGGAGGGAAGCCAAGGTGGATCTTCCACCAGACTCCTTCCAAACATTCCAGTGTCTTTGGGTATAGGGATGCCAGAATGGGTTGAGGTGGAGCTCCCACCCAAACAGTAATGTTTGGCCATCTTAGTCTTATTCCAGGCTATAAGCTTAGTTGAAAAAGCTCCAAAAGGACAGCAATGTTAGCTTTGGTTTTTATTTCTTTTCCCCAATTCAGGGGACAGAGAAATTTTTTTCAGATTAATAATGCTCTACATGACAATATAAGGTCAGGTAAAAGTGAAATGGGACTAGCATGAAACAAAAAGCATCCCCCAGCCTTCTCTTCATATTGCTTTTATTTCAATGTCTTCAGGAAGTGAATTGGTGCCTGTACCACTGATCTGGGCAGGTTCTTCACTCAGGGCTCTCTCCAGACTGGAAGGCAGGGAATGAATCAGTCGTTTTCTAAAGTCCTGGCCCATGAAAACATAGACCATCGGGTTGAGGCAGCTATTGAAGAAGGCCAATGAACTTGTTGGGTGAACCAACATGTCAAGAATTTTATAACCACCACCTAAAATCATCTCTTTGAGCCAGACTGTGCTTAAAAGGGCCACCAGTTGAAAGGGAAACCAACAGATAAAGAAGGAAGCCACAACTGCAGTAAGGACACGTAAGGGACGGCTGGAATTAACAAGGTCTCTTCTGCGGATCTTGGCAGCGATGAGTCCGTAGCAGATGGCAACAATGGACATGGGCATGCTGAAGCCAATAATGAACCTGATGATCCCTCTAGCTGTTAGCATAGTGATAGCTGTGTTCAATCGGTCCACATCAGTGTCACCCCACGACACAAAGCTGAATGTACAGTACACGTTCCCTCTTGGATCTTTAACTGTAGTCAAGAAGAGGAAAATGGGCATTGTGAGGATGAGAGCAAGAATCCAGGGTCCAATGATCACCTTCCTAGCCAGGCTCACAGTGCGGTGGTTCTGAGCCCAGACTGGATGCAGGACACAAATACAGCGGTCCAAAGCAATGAGAGCAATCAAGAAGACACTTCCAAATAGGTTTATGTCCACCACAATGTGAATTAATTTACACAAGAACCAGCCAAACGGCCATTTTTCTTTCATGGCCATTGAGGTGATGAGGAATGGTAGAGTAGCCGTGAAAGAGAAGTCAGCCAAAGCCAGGTTCAGATAACAGATAGTTGTGACAGTGTGTGCCATTCGGAATCCAGCTACCCAGATCACAAGCCCATTGCCCAGCACCCCGAGGAAAAAAGTGATGGAGAGGACCACCATTGAGAGAATCCAGAGAACTCTGGAGGTAGTAGAATCATAGACCACCAGTTCTGATGCATTCAGAGGGATGGAGTAGTTGGCTTCCATTTTGTCTGCACCTGAAAAATTTCAAAAACAGTCATTTCTCAGATGTGGCTCCATCTTACATCACCTCTATTCAGAATCCACACCACCTGCCACCATAGGAGATCCATTCTACCAGTAATATTATGAATAATAATAATAATAATAATAATAATAATAATAATAATAGTAAATAATAAGCCCCCGTGTTCCAGCAGCGACTGAACTGAGAGTGAACAAACAGCAAAACATGGGCGATAGGAGTTTAGCACTCCCAGCAAAGCAGTGGACTCAGTAGACAGTTCCTTGGTGAAGGCTTTCCCTCAGTTCTTGTGTTCACAAAAGAAATAATTCAGCTGAGAGATGCCAAAAGTTTAATTAAAAAAATTTGTTTAACAACGCAAATACCTGAACACTCCAGAGAGAGAGAAAAAGACACAGACAGACACACAGAGAGAGAGAGAGAGACAGAGACAGAGATTGAGAGAGACAGAAAAAGGCAGACAGATAGACAGAAGAGAGATATTAGAATGGTCTGAATGAAAGAGTGAGTATCAGCCCATTGGACTCTACATTGCGGATTTCAAAGAGATTTTTTTCAAAGATTTATGAGATGGGCGGTATATATACACAAATAGGGTGACCAGTTATTGTTCAAACTTGTGGTAAGCCAGATGCCAATTTCTGAGTACTGATTACTATGATACTCTTAAAATTTTACAAAGATGGGAGGTAAAAACACAGTCCAAGGATATCATAACAAAGCTGAAGTCACATTCCTACCCATTGCTAATGTGTAAGTTTAGTAACTGGTGATGCTTCTTGGTGTCTTGATTTCTTATATAGTAGAAATACCTTAACTGCAGGATAAAGAATGTTTAAACACAAAGGGGCATTCTGGAAACAGCTTCATGACAGCACAGTTTCCTTCACATCTAGCTTCTTACTTACATGTTTTCAAGTTCAAATAAGATTCTAACCAGGACTTGGCAAATGGTGCCAAGATCTCCACTTTCTAAGCTCACTACCTCCTTCCAACACGAGAATTATACAGTTTTCAAGTTTCTGTTTCTCTTCACTGTGAGGATCCTCATCCCAGTGTTTGCCTATTAATTCTGTTCATCTAAGGCATTGGCTTTAGCCCACAGTTTAAGAGGAGGTTGAATGGTTGCTACCACTGCTTGGTAATGTATACTTCCTTATGATTCTGCAAAGGAAGGAAGCTAGTGAGGGGTGGGTAGCATCTCTACCTTCAGACTAGTGCCTTCCATTGTTACTTCTTGTTATGAAGTTCCTCATTCCTTTGTATACAAAGAGTGTGCATGACTACATAGTTTAGTGTTATATGGGATATAGGGTAAGACCTAATGAATTTTGGTGGAGTTTGTGGACTTCTCTGTAAAGACCATGCATTGTGTAATTATGATGGAATTTATATTTATTTATATAAGAATTATTAAAGGTTCATTATTTTTAGTTTTTGTAAGACTAGAATGATATAAGAGAATGTAAAACCTGACATCTACACAAATAGTGATAGGACAGATTTTAGTCTAGCTGGGTCTGACCTCTGAGTCCTTCCTCTGCCATACCAAATGTGACAGATATTGCTAAATTCTCCCTCCCCAGCATCTGATCACTTGCTTCTCTCTGCTAAGCAAGTCATGTTTGGATCACGGAGGTTGTCCCTCCATCTACGCTTGAGTGTAAATCCTGATTGGTCTAGAGAGTACTTTGACTCTTCACTGCTTCATAAGGAATTGCTGAAGACATGCACATAGGACACAATTCTGGATGATAATACAGTGGGAGTAAGTCCTCAGGGAGCCTCTGTGATGGCTTTTCTAGCTTCTTAAGAACAAGACTTTCTTTTTCTATGTTGCCTGACTTCTGGTCAGATCATGTCTGTAGCCAGTTCAACCAAGAAGTCTCTGTGTCCACCCCCACCCAGGTTCAGGAAACTTGGAATATTTTCTTATGCTATAATGTGTGGGCTACAAAATATGTATACATGTCATCTGTTGAAATTTATTTATAGGCCTGAGGATGTTGTATCAGTGTAGCTATAGTTTTCCTGCCTGGCCCACAGTCAGGACAAACTCTCTCACCTGCCAGTCCCACAGCCCCTCAGACCCGACCAAGTAAACACAGAGACTTATATTGGTTACAAACTGTATGGCCGTGGCAGGCTTCTTGCTAACTGTTCTTACAGCTTAAATTAATCCATTTCCATTAATCTATACCTTGCCACATGGCTCGTGGCTTACCGGCATCTTCACATGCTCTTTCTCATCATGGTGGCTGGCAGTGTCTCTCTCTCTCTCAGCCTTCCACTTCCCAGCTTTATTCTCCTCCTTGTCCTGCCTACACTTCCTGCCTAGCCAATAGCCAATCAGTGTTTTATTTATTGACTAATTAGCAACACATTTGACATACAGACCATCCCACAGCATATCAGTAATAGAGTGCTTGTCTAGAATCTCCTATGAGGGGATGGGAGCACGGCTCAATGGTAGAGTATCTACCTGCTTAGAATCCTCCAGGGAGGAGCTCAGGCTGCAGCCCAATGGCAGAGCACTTTTCTAGTATCCAAGAAACCTTAGGTTCAATCCCCAGCAGCACCATAAAATAAAAATGCAGAAAGAATCATCTCTATTATTTATGAATCCTGCCTTAAAATGTATTTGCATAAAATCTGGGGTAATTTTGCACAACCATATAGTTTTTGACTTATCAATTCATCTTTGAAAAGGAACAATAATACTGAGCTCTTCTTTGGTTGATTGGTTGGTTACTCGGATACATGGTTGGTTGAGATAGGGTCTGGCTATGTAGCCAAGCTAACCTCATACTCCTAACCCTTCTGCTTCAACTTCCAGAATGCTAAAATTACAGATTTCTGTGAAGAAATTTCCTTGAAACTCAAGCATTCCCTTCAGAAGGCAGAAGGGAACTTCCTAGGTTCCAGAAAGTAAACAAGCTTCACATGTCTTGGAAAGTTGAAACTTAGAAAATTCAGAATTGCTTCTCTCCAAGGTTATGGAACAGTAAACCTCAGCTGGGATAGGAGACTCTGACCAGCATTGCTACCTAGAAGAGACTCCCTGACCTGTCAAGTGGTCTGTAAGTCATGTAGGATGTTGCAGAGATACAGTTTCCACAAGTCTTCACCCTTATTGGGGTGGGCTTTTTGGTGATACAACTGCATCTGAGTCATCTCTGCTCCTGTAACTCCTTACCCATACTCCTGTTGGTAAACCCAATAAAAATTGTAGATCCACCATGTTGCACTTTGATGTAATCATTACTTTGATCTGTCATGGGTTCTCTGGGGTGAGGAGACATGTGCGTGTTGTTTCCTCAGGAAAACTTACACAACACACACCCAGAAGTTTCTCACTTTTAATTCTCATAATAATATTGAGAAAAAGCAACATCCTTCTTTTATCAGGCCAAAGCCACACTCTAAGGATTTCGGTAGGGGTTTTGCTTTTGTCTGTTTTCATTAACAGCAACAAGCATTGGAACCCTAGTTAAACTAATTCCAGAGCTCCCAAATTTGCCTCACTGGTGTGCTTAATTTGACAGGACCTGCCACAATAGCTGACTATCCTCACATATGATATGAGTGATTTCCCTCCTCAGTTTCCTATTACACTTCCTTATTTTCTTTTCCTCACCTGTCACTTTTACCGAGGTCCTATGCAGAACATTGTGTAATGGAATTCAGGATTTCTCAACCCTGGCACTGTTGACATCTGCCCCTACTTAATTGTGGTTGGGTGTGGTGAAGTCCTGTACATCACAGGATGTGTAGCAGCTCTTTGACCTCATCTACTAGATTCCAGGAGCAACCCTCGTCCAGCTATAATAACCAAAAAGTGTATGCGAAAACATCCTCTGAGAGACAAAACTACCTGAAGTGGAAAACCATTGCTGTAGTATAAAGTTTTCTGGGCTCTACAATCAGATAAATATATTTTCTTTTTTTTTGTTTGTTTGTTTTGTGTGTGTGATCCACACTGGTGAAGCTGTGTACATCCATGTGCCTGTTCTTGTACTTGTGAATACCACAGGCCAATGTTTGTTATCTCCATCAACTGATGCTCCACCTTATTTTCTGAGATATGGTCTCTCACTGAACCCAAGGCTTACTGACTCAGTGCTTGCTGTCTAGTGAACTCCAGACCTCCTGCTGTCTCTGCCTCCCTAGAACTGGGGTTACAGATGGGTGTTGTTGTGCCTGGTTTTTGTTTGTTTGTTATTGTTGTTGTATTTTTTTTAATGTGGGTACTTGGGATCCAAGCTCAGATCCTCATGTTGTGAGCCATTTACCCACTAAGTCATCTTCTCAGTCCTGATCAATCTGTTTTCTAATCATATCCCGAATACTGCCAATGTCATTTCTTTGAGCCTTAGTTTCTTCATCTGCTGATCAGGAATGGTTTTATGGTGGAGAATGAATTTTCAAGTGAGGATAGAATGAGAATAAACACAGAAACTTTCCAGGTGAGTCTTTAATAAATGTCATCCCTGTCTTCACCATGTTCTGTACCGTGTTTTAGGGCTCATTTGTGGGCTATGCATTGTAGAAGTTCACATTCAGAGAAGAGCATGTTTCTGTGGCTGAGGATGTGCCTCAGTTGGGAAAGTACTTGACTAGCAAGTACTTGTCTCTGGGATTGATCTCCAGCACTGCACAAAACTGAGTATGATAGTATATATTTTTAATCCTAGCAACCTAGATGTGTAGGCATGAGGATCACAAGTTCAAGGTCATCCTTGACTATATTGAGTTCTAGAGCTATACAGAGAAGAGATGCATAGAGAAGAGCATGGTTCTGACAATAGTAACTAGTTCTTTGGACATTGTCCACACTTAAACAAGTTCATTAAGACTTTACAACTCATCCTAGCTCTTGCAGATTACAGAAATTAATGTAAAGCACTGTGTGTATTCTGAGATGTTGGATGTTGTGAGTATTGAATAATATGATTTATAATGAGAATAACCATTGAACAATTAAATGAGTTAAGATTTAGACCAATAACACTCATTATCTAAGC